GCTTCGGCTTCGTTCCTGCCAAACACCTCAAAAGGTTGCCCAAACTCCAGTTTACCACCTCGGTCTGGCCATCCGTCTGGGGGTGGTAGGAGCTACTAAAATTCAATTGTGTTCCCAGTTTCCCCCACAGGCTCTTCCAAAAATTATTGATGAACTTTGTATCACGATCTGAAGTGATGGATCGAGGAACACCATGTAAACGCACAATCTCCCTGAAATAAAGATGGGCAATCTGGACAACATCCATAGTCTTTCTGTAAGCTACAAAATGGGCCATATTGGAAAACCTGTCAACCACAACAAAGATAGGATCGGTGGCCCTTTGGGTGCGGGGTAAGCCCAATACAAAATCCATGCTGACATCGAACCAATGAGTTTCAAGAATAAGTAAGGGAGTGTACAAGCCCGCATTAGTGAGAACTCCATTAGATCGCTGGCACACATAACAATGGTCCACATAATGAGCCACATCACTAGTTCAACTTAGGCCAATAAAAGTCATAAGAGATTAGGGCAGGGAGTGCAGATGGGCTCATACTCTCTCGGATATAGCCCCTCTCCAACAACTCTTTCACCTGTCGTTGCAACTCTTCAGCCTCCTTGGGACTAAAGTGATATGCTGGTCGATTTGGAAAACTTGACCCAGGAACAAGGTCAATTTGATGATGAATATCCCTCATAGGCGGTAGCCCAGGAGGAGGATCCTCTGGCATCAAGTTAGAGAATTCTGCTAGCAGTCGCCGTACCTCTACTGGTAAATCTAAAACCACATCTATTGCACTATTCTCGCAAGGTAATAAGGCATAGACCACGCCTCCATGCTTATTCTCATCTAAAAACCTGGACATAGAAATCAGGTTAGTATTATTGGTTACCAGGGTAGGAGTGAGTCCTTCCCGTCGGGGTACCAACACAATTTTTTTTCTCTTGATGCTAAGGGAATATGTATTATTCTGTCTGTCATGAATGACATTGCGATCATACTACCAAGGTCGACCCAACAATATATGAAACGCATCCATAGAGACAACATCACACCATGCATTATCAAAATATTTTCTACCAATGGAAAAAGACACGAGGCATCGCCTATCAACTGTTACCTCACTGCCTTTATTTAGCCATGACAACTTGTATGGCTTAGGATGACGGCCCGTCTTTAATTGTAATTTCTGGACAACCTCCTCAGACACTATATTCTCACAACTACCGCTGTCAATGATCATTTTGCAAACTTTATCTGCAACTGTGCAGGTCGTGTGGAAAATATTAGTTCTCAACCAATCGTCTTCTGAATCACCCTTGGGAGTCAGTAGACTCTTGCGAACGACTAGAGTCTCTTGACCATCTCCATACAGCACATCATCAGTCTCATCATCGTCATATATAGGGTGGCCAATCTCCTCAGTCTCGTCTTCCGCATTTTCCTCAATCAACAAATTTTTGCCCTTTTGACTAGCAGGCTTCCTGCAATCAGTCGCCCTATGCCCTTGTTCACCACAACGAAAAAATTTAATAGTAGGGTTAGAATTACCTTGCGGTGGCTGCTGAGCAGGACAGGAATTCTGAGGGCGAACTGGATGACTGTTGTGATCGCTCCTGATCACTGGTCTCCTGTTTTGCTATTTTTCAACAGCAAGTGCACGCTGGTAAGTTTCTGAAACACTCCATAATGAATGAAGGCTGAGAACATCTTGCAAGGGCTGGCGTAAACCCCCCAAATACCGTGCCACCATCTGCTCCTCTGTTTCAGATAAATCGTTACGGGCGACCAATTAATAAACTCCTCCGTGTAATCATCGACTGATCGTGAGCCTTGCCTTAACGTATGAAGTCGTTGAAACAAGGTTTACATGTAGCCGAAGGGAAGGAAGTGACCCTTCATCTTCTTCTTCATCTTCTCCCAATCAGTGATCTTGGCATTGCCTTGCCTGTCTCGTGAACATCGCAACTGCTCCCACCACGCAGATGCTCTGCCCTTGAGTTTGATGGCGATCAGTTTCACTTTCACATGTTCGGGGACTTTCTTATAATAAAAAATATGCTCCACTTCATTAATCTAATCCACGAATCTCTCGGTTTGTAACGTACCAGAAAACTCGAGGAGATCGACCCGAAAATCGAGGTCTCCATGACGCTCCTCCCGACCACGGTGCTCCCGGAATAGAGCACGATTGTTATATGGGTTTTTGAAAGTAGAATTAGTATCATGATCAGAGGCCTCACGATCCTCAAAATCCTGCGCAGTCAGGCGCTGGGTTAATTCTACGACTTGCCTCTACAAATCCGTAATCATCGCATCCTGAACGCTGTGATCACGACGTTGGGCTTCCTCATTCGGAACCTGCTCACGACGGCCACGACCACGACCTCCAGCCATCGACACTGGTGAAATTTCTCAGGAATATGTTGAAGCTCTGATACCAACTGACGCCGGACAGGATAACGATTATCCTGTAGGCTGGTTCCAATAGATGATTCACAAGAGAAAAATCACCCAAAACCAGAGAAAACAAGTCTCTAGGGTTTAACGAAATATTATAAAATCAAAACAATCCAAAAATCAGTCCACAAACCGGACTGTTATAGCCAAAAATCATGTTTATCCAAATTTTACCAAAAATAGCAAAATCCCAAAAATCACTCTAAATTGAAATTCAAAATAAAATAAACAATCTGCAAAAAATGGGGCCCAAATCGGATTTAAATTGACTTCCTAACTGACAAGCAAAATATTACCTTAAATAGTAAAAAATAAATAAAACTAGTGATTTGGAGGGGAAAACGGCATAATTTTAGGTCGAAAAAAAGGCCATATGGAGCCAAGCTCGATGTGGACAGTGTGTGCGTCGAAAGGGGCTTTTCGAATTGGGGTCTTAAGCTCGATTCCGACACCCGTAGCCAAAGTTATGGCCAAAAGACTGAAACGCACTCAAAACAGCCCCAATGAGGAACATATCACAATCAACTCCCGCCTTTGCGCTGATCTGCCAACTCATGGTATCTCAGCGACATCAAGGTACAATCTGACAGCTCATCATCATCTGTCTCGGATCCCCTTGCATCAGTCACCCTGCAAAATCAGTAATAACAAAACATCATACTTAATTTCCACTTCCAAGGAACAAATAAGCTAAAAAACCGAAACCCATATATGACTAACCTTGATGGTACCACCTGCAATACTACGAGCACCGAGTTTGGGAATAATTTGGAATAGAAACTCCGCCTTGTCCCAATACTGAGAGGAAATTGCATATCAGTTGCTAAACATCACAACATTTAATTGTCATCTACCAAACCAAAGTCATCAATCCATGTTGTGAGAAAGGTTCATTATTAGAAAGATACCTCTGTCATTATAGGAGGGACAAAAACCCTTCCAATCATTGTATCCACCTGGCCGAAGCCCCCGTAGGCTTCTTCGTCATCCATTGACATCTTCGTCCCCGTAGGCGGAGGTCGGTGTTGGTCAAGAAAAGGAAATCGATTTTAGGGGAAAAGAAGGAGGAGAGGTGGGACGAGGCGGAGAGAGAGATGGTGGCGCGATGAAAGAGACGGAGATCGTCGAGTTCATCGGAGGCGGAAATGGGTGGCAGAGGCTGGGGATTCAAACTCGGGCCTAACAAGAAGAAAAGAATCGAGATGAAAAGCAGGAGGGAAAAGGAGAGAATGAAAGGACTGGAAAACATTAGGCGTGAATTGATTATCGAGGGGGGAAGAAGAGGGAAAGGATGAAAATAATGGGGGAAATTAAAAGATGACTTTTACAGATGACACACAATTAAAAAGTGTACTCCGTGTTTTTACAATTTTTTTGGATTATGACTATTAAATATGACACACATTATTGTAAGTCATAAATAGTTCAGATTTTAAAAAACATGACATTTTTTTATGACACATTTTTTGTAAGTCATAAATTAGAGTGTGCATTCGTTCATGTGTCATTAAAGGTATATTTTCTTGTAGTGGGAAAAACCAATTTGAAGAAATCTTACCTTTGGCTATGGTGAGAGCACGGGAACGAGAAGAAGGAGAAGAGGAAGAGATAACTTAGCTTTTCAACTTTTCCCCCTTTTACTCTTAATAAATTCATTTTCCCTCTAAAGGACCATAATTTCCCCTCCATTCTTCCATTTTTACTAATTAGACTTAAACACAATTTACTAAATCATTTCTTATACTTTACCATTTATTCAATTTAATCCTCCAAATTTTAAATCCTTTTATTATAGTAGATGACCCGATATTTGGGGTATTACAATTGCTCTTAACTCATTAGTATGGGATGAGATAATGCTTTTTAAAAATTTGGAGAATCATATACTCGTTTCTATATATTAATGAATCCAAACGTAAAAAAAATATTTGCTTCAAATATACTGTCTAGGTATGATCATTAAGAAGAAAGAATCTAAATTTCTATCTTGTATTTATACATTACTTCTAAAATTAATCAAACTGTCGGCCCTTCTAATTGAATATAGTCGTACATAACTGCATTGAATGCTCCCATGCTTCTGCTCTGTGTTAGAAAGATTGCGTTCTCCCCTTTCTCAATTCTGTGACCAGCCACATTAATGCTATATAATCTGTACATTCCATGAATTCCATGTCGTGCTACGGCATTATCTTAACTTATCCTCCTCGTAGTAAAATACGGTCGAATGCACTCGGGTCGTTGAATCGGACCTATGAATACATTTGTAAAGGTTCATTAGCATAGAGAATAAGTGAAAAGCATAGCTACATTCTATCCCTGGTAAATGACGACCGACAATGATGAGATTTATACCTGTCCATTGAAAATACAAACTCGTAAGCTGAATAAATGTGTGGAGATCTTCAGGCTGAATGGCATGCATGACCAAGAGGTTAAACAGAGATTACTTGTCTGTTTCATCGAGGCACAATGAGCTAACAAGCATCGGGTCGGCCGGCTGCTGTGCAGTCTGAAATCCCAATTTCCCACAACGTAGGGCCATTCCATGGAGGATCATATATTAGAGTACCCAAGCTAATCTTGTTTCCTGCATAGGCGTTTATGAAAAAAGATTATGTGATTTCATGAACCCAATGGTTTAGAATAACATGGAAATAAATTTGACTTGGTTGGATAGTGATGTTGAGATCCAATTTGTAGTTTCCAATGAAACCATGGACCCATGCATACAAATTATGCAATCCCGGTCGGACATTTTTTATTTCGACACGTCCATTGTTGTCGGATTGAGTCCAAAATTGATAACCCTGAAAACAGAAAAGAACATGACAGAAACCAGAGTTGGAATATTCATATACATCTATAATTAAGACTTAAGATGTAACTTGGTCAACAATATTAACCTTCCCGCCGTGTTGCCATGATCCTGCATCTCGAGGAGCAGCCAACACCACAAAGGCATATTGTCCCTGAACGAATTCCTTATCATTGTACCAGTTTCGCACAAGTAACTGACCGCTAACTTGGCCTCGTTGTTCAGCATGAGTAAAATCTTTGGATGGAGTGAAATTGTAAGGCCAGCTTTCGATTTCTACACTCAACTAATGGCGCACAAATAAGTGATAAATGAGTTAGTTGCTCAATACCATAAATTTAAGTTTACCCGATCTTGCTAGTGATGAGAAAACCTGTCTTTGAGCGTCATTCCACAGTGTCTTGCGGTGATCATTATTGGAAGAAGCAGAATTAAGATAAATAAAAGCAGGACCGAACACCTTTTTCTAATGCTCGCTTTTCTTATATCGAAATCCTTCCCGGCATAGAGAGCGGTAACAAGCATATAAATCGTCGAAACAATGAAAATATCACACAATCATTTCTAGTTAAATGAAAATTATTGCAAGCTTCTATAATTTATGCATGTATGTATTACTTATTGGCATGTAAACAGACTTACGCATAGAGAAGTGGCACCAGGATGAGAAGTGAGGCCCTCCTTATGAGGGCCACCAACTCTGTACTCAGAGCTTGGTGTGATTATCCATCGTCATCAGATATCCATCCAAGAAGCTTGTTATCTTTGTTCTCAATCGAATATTAGTACTTGTCATCAACCTATGCACCACAGTTATTGAACAGAAAAAGGAAGAACCTGTTTGTTGGGATCTCAGCACAGCAAGCGCAAAAACAAATATCAACACAATGATTAATCGAAACCATAAAGCAGGTGTAAAGCTGCAGCTATTTGCCTTGGAGGAATAGTTTGATCTTGCAAAGAATTAGTCCTTGGAGGAATTTATGTTCTTCCCAATAGTTTTAATTATATTCAAAGTGCAAATTTAATTATCATTACGACATAATTAGTAGTAAGTAATTTTTAAGTCGAACACCTTATTATTATTATTATTTACATTTTGTTGTTGGTTAATGTAAATAAAAGAATAAAAGGAGAAAGTCTTATAGTATTCTAAATAAGATTTTATTTTATTTAAGTACATTTTTTGGTGATTGAAATTTTTTATAACGACATGAATACGCATGTAAATTTTAAATCAAACACCTTTTTTATTTGATTTTAGTTTGTTTAGGTTTCTATAAAAAGTTGAAACAATAGACCAATAGTTATAAGATATTATTTTATCACTATATTATAATAAATTAAAGAATTGGTCTTTTAATTTTATTAAAATTTTGTTTAACATAACAATTTAAATAATAAAAATATAAACTTCATTCAAGAATATTCTAAGTACTAAATGATATAATTTTATTAAAGAATTTAATGCTACACAAATTAATAAAGATATAAAGTTAAGACAAGTAATTTATTTTAATTATATATGAAAATCTATTGTTTTATGTTTGTTAATAACATAAATTCTGCTTTGAGTAGATTTCCTACTTGGGTGCTTATGCTTTTCACATCTATGGTCGTTGAACCATCTTAAATTTGAATTTCGTATAACCCCTTGCAATAGTTGCAACACATACAGATCAATCATTTGATACCTTAGAATCCTTTTCGACTCCGACTAACTCAACTTAATACTCTATATCATATATTTAAATTACAGTTGTGGATTACTTTTTGAGTATGTTATTGGTATTGTGGTTGTATAATAATTATTATTGTAGGTATAAGTGAGACTAGTGAATTCAACAACCACATCCATGCTTGAATAAGTTATTTGATGGTTCCTGAGCCAGTGGAGTTGAATAATATGAAGCCGGAATGCTTGGACGAGTTAGGGATAACAATTTAACTTGAAAAATTGGTTTTGTTCCGATCCGATAGGGTCGGGTTTTTTTATAATTTTTTTTGTTTTAGTCAGGTAGGTTAAAGGAGTAAGGTCGAGTCGGGCTTAGGTGGGGTGAAAAAACTCTAACCCGATCCCACCGAGGATAATAATGTAACTTCCTTAAAAAAATATTATTTTGTTAATTAAATTTTTATTTTGTAACGGAACAGATCTGGTTGGATTGATTTATACTCTAAAAATTCTGATCAGATCAAAATCAGGTGGAGAATATATATTTTTCGAGTCAAGTCGAATCCAGTAGAGAATATATAATTTTCAAGTCATGTCATATTCGAATGAATGATACATATTTTTTAGGTCGGATCGAGTTGACCAAAACCCCGACCCAACCCAACCTATTGTCATCCATGCATCCAACCCTCCTAAAATGATATTTTAGGACTAAGTTTGACGTCCTAAGTGATAAAATGACAAAAATACCCATAAATATAATTAGATGAGCTAGAAATCTTCAAATTTGAAAAAAGAAGAAGCTAAAATACTATTGGATGATAAAAAACCAAAATATCTTTTAAGGTTTAATAAATGAGCATTAAGTCCTGAAACTTTGAAAAATGAGTATAATAATTTTACGGCTAATTAGTAAGACTCAAGATCCTAATTTTTGATAAATAACTGAACCTGGAGCCCAAGTCTTGTAAAATTACCAACATACTCCTGATAATAAATAGATTTGAATAAACTTTAGATAGAAGATAAAAAAAAACATAATATTTATTAAGTGGGCTTGAGGCCTTAGACTTTATAAAATGGGTTTTTTTCCCAATAGGGGTAATATTTTATTATTTAGCCGCATAGGGCACATTAAAGTTTCTTGTGGGATCTACGACATTTGATACAATGACCGAGTTCCTCTAGAAATATTAACTAAATGGTCCCCGTTATATGGGCCCCTTGTGGACTAATATTTTATTATTTCCAATGGAACTCGTCATCTCTACGTGATGAATCTTGTTGAAAATTAATTTTTTATTTTTACCTTTACCAAATAATTTAATTTTTTTTTTAAAAATATGCCAAACTCATCACCTCAAAATGATAAGTTTGTTTTGAATTTTAAAAAAGTACATGTTTCTAGCCATTGCACAACGGTCAGATGTAACAGGCAGATTACAACGGTCACTATGGAACTCGTCACCTTGAGGTGACGAGTTCAGTGGGATTTTTGAGTTAACTAGTCATTTCTGGTCGTTGGTTTTGGGTTTTAAATAGGAGTTTAAGGTTTAGGTTTTTTTATTGTGTTTTGTTAAGAAAAAAAATCAAAATTTTAAAAAAATGTCAACCCACGATGAAATGTTACGCCTCGATGATGGCCATATTTCTATACTCGAGCTCAGACCGGATGAAGAACATAGAGTTCATCAAAGAGGAATGGGTCTCCGAGATTCGCATCAGCGAATTATTATATATTTGCAATAATCCAGGTTGTATCCAACGACCATTTTGCGTGGTTTTAAGGTTATCTCGACATTGATTATCAATCTCATTGAACGTTGGAGGCCGGAGATGCATACTTTCCATTTTTTGAGTTGTGAAGCGATAATTACGCTGGAATATGTTGCTTACTAACTCGGTGTTTTGGTTAACGGTATGGCGGCAGTGAGACACAACAATTTCAACTGATTCGAAATTGTTGACCAAGTTTTGGGAAAGATGCCACCATCAAAGGTCTTAGATGGGTACCAAATACGGACCAAATGGTTGGAGTCTGAATTTAATATGACGGATGACTCTACCGAGTAAGAGGTGATTTTTGTCACCCAAGCGTGTTTGCTCTAATTGATTGGAGAGATATTGTTACAAAATAAATCTGGTAACTTGACACACATTCAGTATCTTTCGATATTGGATAATTTTACTTTGTGTCACAATATTAGTTGGGGCTTTGCAATTTTGGCTTTTTTATACTGGGAACTTTGCAAGGCTTCAATTGTCTAATGGGGTCAAAAAGCGGATGTATCAGGTTGTCTAGTCCTGCTACAATCTTGGGTGTGGTACCGGTTCTCATTTTTTACGCCAATTACACCGTTCCCGATTGAGTTTCCTTTCGCTACAAGGTAATTTTTACCATGATTTTTATTAAATTTTTAAATTTAATTTTTTTTTAATTTTAATTTTTTATATTATTTAGATGGCCACATAAAATTATTGAGACGAAATTATTGGGTGCAACTAAACAAGATATAAAAATGAGAATCGATATGGCCGGTCAAAATTGTTGCGACAGTTTGGGTCTCATCAACCGATTCTTACGCAAACTATGGATATGGACACACTCATAGAATTGATACACGTGGGAAGCATACCCAAAATTAGCTGAGGAAACATGCTAATTACATTGAGAAATGGAATCACCGTCATTTCTTGGTCCCTATGCATTAAGAGAATACACTCACTAACGTTGATTTCGAAAGCAAATTGGAAACCATATTTCATGACATCACAAGAGAGGGAAGAATGGGAACGAGGAAAGGCTAAATTCAAAAAAGCCAAGAAGAAATCATCATCATAATCTTCGTATTCTACTTCTACTTCTACCGATTATTTTGCATTTCAGAGTAGTTTTGGTTTTTATCCGTCATATTATGCTACAACGGAGACTCAATCGAATTGCGTTGGAGGTTCATAGAAAGAAATACAAAAAACTCAAGCATCTTCGACCCGAATATACTGGTGAGGGTGAATGGGATCATATTATATATGGTCAACAACATAGTGACAACTATCGTTTCGATGTCAAAATAAATTCCTTATTCTCAATTGATAA